TTTATTTTATATAATGAAAGTACGTTTTTATTTATTTTTTCGAAAGAAAAATGAAAAGAATAAATAAAATTGTATTTTTATGGTATGTAAATACAGAAAATATTTAAATTTCTTCGCTCCTAATAAAGATTTCTATGTCTGTAATCTTTACGTTAAAATATATGAATCTGGTATCAAATTTGTCGTTCTCATGTTGATCATTTTTCTCAAGCTTTCATTATGTCCTCTGTTTGTTGGTAGTATTTTAATATTAAATAAAAATTAATGTAGTACAACGGTACTAACCAAAAATATGCTTATAAGTATCTTACATAGGTCAGCAGAGCACACAGATACTAGATAGTAGTACTCACAAAACACTCAATATTACACAGCGAGTACTCGATTGTCGTACTCAGATACTCAGATTCTAGCAGGAGTACTACTGATGAGTACTCAAAATGCGTGAGTACTCATGAGTACTCGTGACATTTTCTAGCGTGAGTACTTTTTGAGTACTCGCCTATGAGTAACTTCACTAGGGAAGAATCAACACAAAAGGAACAATGAACACTATTCAATATATTGATTGACATCTTTTTCTATCAAATAGATAAAAATTCAATCAGAAGAACAAGACAAGAATATTGGGCAGCAAGTAATATGAATATAGTTGGGCTGATAGATTTGTCATAGACAATGAATCTGCAAGAACTACTTACATAAGATAAGTTTCATTCTAGTTTGGTTAATGAAAATATAATCACTAGAAAGACTAAAACGATAACGAGTCCCTATAAAAACAACAAAGTTCGAAATCGATCAACATGTTGCATTTTGTTTTCTTGTATATCAATGAAATTGAAAACTGGAAATAAAGAGAAACAGGCAGAGATCAGAAGTTCTTGTTCTATGGTTTCTTGTAGTCATTAACGATAGTAAACGTTACAACGAAGTGCTTCCCAGAAGACTATTAAGAATGACGTAAATGAATGTGTTGTGTTATAAAAATAAATTAATCGTGCTCGGCCGTAATCAAAATTAGTTTCTCCCACTGCTCATGCAACTATCATCAGCGTATAATGATCACTATGGGAAATAGCTCATGTGAGAACAAGTCAACATGAAAGAATCGTCTCTCTGTCACAAGTAACAATATCAGGTTTATTTGTCTGTTCTGGATGTTCATAATATACTGCATCACTTATCGTTTTCAATCATTTTGTATTAGAAAAATACACCTGATATCATTACTAGTGACAGAGAGATGGTTCCTCTATATCGAATTGTACACTATGCGTGATTCATCTTTCTTCATCTTGTTTTTTGCTTGTTCACTCATAAGATATTTCCCATGATCATCATTACACACTGATGACAACTGCATGAGCAGTAGGAGAAAACTAATTTTAGTAATGATCAGGCGAGATTGATTTATTTTTATCACATAATGCATTCATTTACGTCACTTTTGATTATCTTATGGGATATATTTCATCGCAACATTGACTCATCGATAATGATTGCAACAAAACATAGTATAAAAGCTTCTGATCTCTGTTTGTTTCTCCTCACTTCTAGTTTTTGATTTCGTCGATGTACAAGAAAAAAAGAATGCAATATGTTAATTGATTTGGAACTTGCTTTTTTTATAAAAGCTCGTTACTTTTATTCTTCCTATTGTTCACATGTAATTTCTTCTTTTATATAATAAAAAAGATATTTTTGTGAGAACCAATATAAACATGTTTTGCTCGGCACTAGTCTATTCTCTCGTTTTTGTTGGCATATTCTTCAATATTGAAGGTTATAACAATGATAAAGAGTCTCAATTAGAAAGGTTGATTCGTCGAAGGCTTGCTCGCTCTACCTGTCCTGATCCAAGTGAATGTCTGTCGAAATGGGGCTACTGTGGAACTGGATCAGCTTATTGTGGCAATGGTTGTCAAGCGGGTCCATGTACGGAAAATGGCAATCCAGATAATCTTTTGAACAGCAATCTATTTATCTATATGTACTGTATATATTATATTATATTCATTATGAACAGCCTGATAAAACGAGCCCTTTCCTTTAACAAAAAGGTGGAATTCTCAATATTTTGACTGAGACTGATTTCCTTTCGAATTTAATGCGCATGCCTACGCTACATCAGCTCAGTAAACCCAATGATAAACTGATATATCATATGAATAGGCATTTTATTTTAAAAATAGCTTCTCAAACAGACAATGTATCAATACATTTTTAAAAATTGGGAGAACTTTATTTTCGAAAATGTTGATCTTTTTTGGGGAATATCAGTGAAGAGATGACCCACATCTATATCGGTAACCATACTCTAAATCCTAAAGTTAGAATCTACAATTATTTTTAAATATTTACAATTCATCGAAAAAGCCAGTAATGTTTGAAAAAAAAACCTTCATAGAAGCAATTAAAGGTTAATGTCTTCACCAAATTGTGATAACTTTGGAGCCTTTTTCACAAATACCGATCCGTAAAATACATGAACCAACTTCATTTCTGACATACATTATTATCATCGTTAAATAAGTGTTGAATAAGAAAATAAAAACGAAGCATCAAACGACTTAGCAAACTCGATTGATCTATGTTAGAGTCGGTGTGAATAGGACAATATGAATTCAATCTTCTCATAAGAATAATTTTTTGAACTAGCTATTTTCATTATACTTCATTAATGTATGAAACAAAACTAATCATTTCATTACATGAGATACGTTAAAAGAAAATAGTGATCAGAGTCTTTCGACGTACTATTTCAACATTATGGCTAAAAGTAAAATTTCAACTTTGCACAATTGATACAAGTTGTGTTTTTTTGTAAAATTTTTGTTAATACTTATTTAATGTTCGCATTCAACATGAAGCTTGCTAAGACATTGTAGACGTACATTCCAGTTGGAAAGAAATTATATCACATAGTCGAATTACCCAACAGTAGAGCTAAGTTTGACAAAATGGAAATATTTATTAATTAACGATAATTCTTCAGGTTGGATATGGATATGTGGGCTTACTTTTATGCAAGGATTAGAATTCTGTGCAAAAAAGAAATGTTCGCATCAAAGTTGACTTTTGAATGATGCTAATGATGATAGAACAAGTAATCGATTAGTTTTTGTATGCATACAATCCTTAGCACTTGCTCTCTTTTTTTTATATTGTTATTCTCTTTTATTATCCCTTCTATATGTGAATATTGACTCGTATATAAATAGTTCAAGATTTTTTTTTTATCTTTGATTTCTGCACTATGGAATCCATTCTGTTGTTTCGCATTCTGATAGTGACTGTGATAGTGAAACCAATAGTTCTAGATGTGTCTGTTGCAGATAATGGCATCCACAAGTCGTATGAAGGTCAAGTTTGGTTCTATGGTTCGTGCTCAGGTACGGTCAGCACTAGACGTGATTGTAAAACGTCGACACTCAATTTGGCCCATACTAATATTTCAAAAATATGTACTTCGATCGATTTCTTCTGGCCATATCCTGCCAACAATTTAACGATGATTATCGAAACACCATTCACAGCAAAAAAACAAAAATATATGATTCGTCTTGACATTCATCGTATGATCAGTGTCATTTCACATATTTACAGAATCATTCACGGAAAGGTAATCGACGTGACAACGACAAAAAATGGGCTCATTCAATACTCAGATTCAAACTATCAGGTCGTGCTCAAGTTTCAAGGTCCATCCACGTTAACTTACTACGGTGTTTCCATTGACTATGAAGTTATCACATCGTAAACAGAATAATGTCTAAACTTTGTTTTTTATTTCTACAATCATCAATAAAATCTTCAGTATTGAACTTGAAAACAATTGCGTTTGAATAAAGACTTCAATAAGCAGAATATGCAAAAGAACATCTTTTCATGGTTTGAACGATTGTGTAGCTTCGCATAGCGACAAAGAATGACTACTTTTTCATGACATTTTAGTGCTGACCGCAAGTTACCTTTCTTACTCATAAACGCGCTATTTATTTTTGAACATGGATGCCATTGAAGCATTTGCGAAGAAAGGCACTTTGTCAAGATTTAAAGCAACACATTGTGCTATTTAAATGTCAAATCTTATTAATCAGCAAAATCGTGAACATTATCGATGTTGTTGCTTGCAACAACCGACTGAAGACGATTCGCAAGGAAATCCATCAAATGACTTTCAGTGTCTGCTAGTAATTTTTCTTTTTTAAAAGTAAAGAGGATGTGGGTGTGAGTGTGTGCGTATGAAAGTTGATCTTTTGAACCATAGCCCAACTTCACATTCACCTAATACTTTTTGTCTGGAATTTCGAATTAAGAGAACTTATAACAATAAAATTCTCTTTGAACTTAGCATCTCAAACAGACAAAATTAATTTAAAAAAACCGTAAAAATGGTTCAAAAATAAATGCGTTCCAAATCCTAAAAAGTGCACATTTTAACGCAATATGTACGTGTTAACATTTTGAAATGAGTTTTTATCATGTCAGATAGCTTAACGCATTATAATAGTATGTGTAGCTCTCAAACTGTTGAAAAACTTCTTTTAGGCGTAACGTGGTTGGAGGATAGCAGCAGAAGTTTCATTACTGTCCTTTCTAAATTCCTTTAACTCAGAACCCTAAACTATACTTTAGAAAACAAGCAGACAAGTTCTAGACAATTCTGTTACACTTAACATGCTGAAAGTAGAATGAATAAGGATGAGAAAAGATGCAAATTCTAGTTTCGATGTCGGTTCCGATAAATTTTAAGAAGTTGGAATGGGTGTGAGTGAAAAGGAAGACCAACACTCATATCCTCTTTTTTTCATATTCGAATCTATAATCTTCACGTAACAGAAATATAAACTGACATATCAAATACCAAATGGATGACAACAATATTAAACATATATTTATCACGAGTCAAATCTGACAAGGAGAAAAATAATTTATGAACGTCTTATATATATATATATATATATATATAGATATATGAGAAAAGCCGGTCAAAGCTACGAGAATACAAGCCAAAACACAATGAGCCACAGAAGCATAGCACAAGAATATGAAAGTAGTACTGTGAGTGTGACATTAAACCATACAATATGATTATTTTGAGTTACTGTTTTACATTTTTCGAGTGGTTTAATATTTTTATATTTCTTTTGATAAATTGCAATCCATATTGCTGGTATACTTTTATCAGGCGCTTTCAGAGAATACGAAGTTGTGAAATCTCGACAGATAATGTGTGGATTGATGGCCAATCCAGAATCTAATTCTAAATATGAATCAATATTCTTCATTCGAAACTAAAAGAAACAAAACGAAACAGTATGATTCATGTGATAAACGAAATTTTGTATATATCTTAAAATAATATTTACCTTGTCATAAGTATTCTTGTTTAAACTGATCTTTTGATTTAGAAATTTATCCGAATTTTTATTCTTGTATTCGAGTGCTTGTCGATAGAGTTTACCAAGAATAGATTGAGATTCATATGAATTATCTTTCATCAAAAAATCTGGATATAATTTGCCCACTAGTTTACGAATTTGATTAATACGTTGTCTATCAGCGACATAGCCCGTTTTAGAAGAATCGACTACAAACAACCGATATTTCAACATAAGCTATTTCACACTTCATCTATACTCACTAGCAGCTGAAAACATGTTTGCAAGTTCAACAGCCAATTTTTGACATGTAAGTTGTTTACAATTTTCGAGATTTTTGTCAACGACAGTAGCATGTAAATTATAGATTTCACCGCAACTTATAGCACCGAATAATGAATAACAATGCCGTAAAATATCCGTATGAGTTATTGGCGAAGATTTTGGAGAACGTTGTGAAACAAACGATGTATAATCAAGTGGGTCAACTTTTCGAGATATTTTCAAATCCTGACCCCAATAAACCTGTAAAATAAAACAAAACCAAATTTTTAAACATTAAAATATCCAACAAAATAACGTACGAAATAATGATCACCGTCGAGATCGGATCCAGAAATTTTATTTGGATCAGGTCCTATAATCATATTTAAATTGGATTCAAGACAAACAGAGTATGGCAATTTACTTTCATCTTTAGTGGAAAATACGATAACATCAGTTAGGCAATAAAGTTCATGATTATCGACAGCTTCTAGTTCAAGCATATCACCAGCATGAAGGCTATAATATTGATCAAAAGTTTCTTTTCTATAAATTCTAGAAAGAAAAGGTAATATATATATATATAACTAACCAAGGATTCTTCGTCACAATAACACGTCCAACAACGGTTTCAAATCGAGGAGTTTTAAGTGGTTGTCCGTCATCATCAACAACTTGGTATCGAATAAAGCATTTTCCTGGTTCAAGACTAGATTCGATTGCACAACCAAACATATAGCGACATTCATTTACCGGCATTGGTATCTTATTTTTTAAAAGATCTCTGCGTAAAAAAAAAACGTTAGTACTTATCATAACAAAAAAAAGGCAATATCTTTACTGAGAATTATCAGGTGATTTTTTTTCATCTCGAAACCATTTGCATTGTAGATCAAGAAACTTTTTATCTGGCACGCCAAGATCGGACATAATCATAATAACTTGGTTATTAAGCCGAGTTGGAACTACAATGAAAAAGCGAATATTTTTTTTTTCTAGACATCAAATTTTTGATGATAGGATGAAAAATAAGTATACGATTAATTACAAAGAGTTTAATGAGTTAATGATCATACAAAATTTTCGATAGAGAAAAAAGAACTTGAAGATCAAGTCAATTTTTTATATTCGTAATTCATAGTCTGATCCAATGGATTTAACTATCATTTGAGACGATTTTCAAAAAGTATTCATCTAGAAGTTCATGTTCAAGTCCCAAAATTTCATACAATAGTTTCATAGTAAAAAAAACGTACAACTAGTATAATTGTAAAATGATTTCACGTTTTTGAAATTAGAAAAAATTCATTTTCTAATAATGATTCAAATATTTTTGTTTTTGTTCTTCTCTAATGTATACATTTATACAATTTCTTATCTCTATTCTTATATTCGAATTTCAAAAAAGAAAGCAACAAACTATCATACTTGGTTGACTAGCTTCACAAATCTCCAAAGTCCAGTCATTCGATTTGAATTTCTTCATTGATGGACGAATTTTGATATAGAATTGATCCAAGGTGGATTGTGGCTCAACAACGACAAGACCTTTACAACCGGCCATTCGAATTTGATAAGCAGATGGATAAATATCCTGCATTGATTAAAGAATATTTTCAGAAAAGACTAAAAAAAACTGAACCATTTGAAAATGAAATAGATACGTACAAGTTCGATATTTTCAATGGGATAATCAAGGTTTTTCGCAACAAGTTTTGCTAAACCTTTTGATATAAAGCCATTTCCATCTGTAAAACAATAACCATTACGTTCAATGTCATCAATCATTTTAACACAATAATCACCATTTTGAATTCGTTCATCGAAATCTTCAGTATAATTGAGCGTAATCTAGCACAATAACGTATTCTATAGTTATGTTGAGAGTTGATTTTAAATTAAAAAAGATTCTTACTCTACTTGAAATAGTCTTACTAAACCAAAGACCTAAACGCGCTAAATATTTTCCAACATTAGTAATTTCACTAAAATCACCTAATTGTGCTCGTTTATCATCGACTTCTTTATACGAATTCGCTTTTATAAACCAATAACTGTGTTCTCGAAGTTGCGAATTAGATGCACCAAATAAATGGTACCGTGTATTACATAAAAGAATACCCGATTTCAATACCATTTCGTAATATGGATTTGAATTAACATATCCACCTTCTTTATCTGATTTAAAGTATACCAAACAAAAGTCATTCACATCATTAAAAGCAGAATGACGTAGTGCACGATGACCTTGAATTCGTTCCATTGGCATAACTTTTTTACAGGTCGGAGTAACATGAACAACGTTAACATCATAGTGAAGTTGATCGTTTTCCTAATTGAAATAAATATAAAATAATTTCGCATTAGTTGAACAAAAAACAATATTCTTTACTAATGTTTCTTCATCGGGCTTTGATAAATCTAGTGTGCTTTGTTCGAATTCATTTTCATTAAAAATAGTCATTAAATCAACTGATTCATCTTTTTGAAGAACTTGATATGCAATAAGAGCCAACTTGTAGAAATTCTTATCATCTCGTTTGGCTAAACTAATCATCATTGTTTGCAGAGATGTGTTCGTTGAATATTTGTTATCAAATACGGAACCAAGCGAATGTAACATTTCGAATGCATATCGATTTTTGAATGTTTGATATGGATCAAGAAATGAATTTGACCACAACTGATTCGTATGTATATGATTCGCCATTGTAGATATTGAATTATGTAACGATGATTAATTGAGGTATAGCTAATCGTTAAAACCAGCATTGATCTATACTCAATTGGCTTTAAATATTTATTAGAAAATAGAATGGAAATTTTTCTCGTGGTACTTTTCCATTCTGGAATATATGAGCGAGAAAAATAACGAGTCAGATTCTTTTTCACTGTGGGCAACATCAATATTTAAACAACAACTTTTTCTTCCACTCGTGTTGTTACTTTTTGAGTAGCTACCTTATTCAAGTTTGAGTAGAAATGAAAGAAAAAGACTGATGTTTCAACACTACGAACGAAAAAGAAAAATTTTCAACTGTTTCAAAATTCCAACACGAACCCCTGTCGAATTAAAAGAACAGAGTGATAAAAATTAAAATTAACATAATTAACAAATCTCTAGATTTTAAACTCTCTTAACCAGTACTAACGTTGGTCGCGTCACTTTCACTTAGTCGATCCCTGATATAAAATCAATGTTTTCTTCTATCTTTGGATGGTTGTGGATTTGGATGTGCCTATCACTATGATGACACACATTCTAGGCCAAGACCCACACCCACATCCAAATAGCAGCTATATATATTGATGATATAGCGGAATGAAAAATATGCAATTCCTTCCATGAGTTTCGAAACACGTACATTGTACTATCGCGACAGACATCGCGGACCAGTTAGATAAGAAAATCAAAATGTATTTTTTTCTTCGTGAAGCCAGCCATATTTTCAATGTGAAATGTGGCATCTATAATGAATAGTACAAATCATAAAATTGAAATGGATCAACACCGAATTTCTGTCTGTCACATGTATTGTCTTAACTTGCACCGAACCGAAAATTCAACATCAAACAAGTGTACAGAGCATTTATAGATTTGTGGGAAGCATAAAAGATAGATGCCACATGAGGCTTATATTAACACAATCAGTAAAAAGAGAATCATTTTTTACAAATAATTCAGCATAATTCCTAACAGGCCACTGAAATGATAGTCATATCCCGAAGTTGGTTCTATTTTTTCACTAGAAGCAATTGATTATATGTGGCTTTGTACATTTCATGCAACAATACTGTCAAATTCAGTGCCTGAACATTACTACTTGCTTTATCAGTATCGGTATCCAGCCAGCCAAATGATGAAAAATCAATCGAACAGTTGCTGAAGAGAAATCAATCATTCAGACCCATGTGCGCATATGAATCATTGTAACGACAAGGGTAAACAGCGTTGTGAAGAACACGAAAGTAAATATTATATCGATCCTTTTTGCCTTCCATATGATGACAATTTTAATATCTGTACACATATTGTCACGTGTGAAAAAAAATAATACGATCAACGGAGAGCTTTTTTTATTCTTTCTTCTATTCGCTCATCGTGCATGTTAACCAAACCAATTTTACCTTTTTAACACAAAAAACAACAGGAATTCTGCTTCACAGAACGTTATATCGCACAGGAAAGATTAGAAAAAGCGAAATCCGAACTCCCAGATTTGAACTGGGGACCTATAGGTTACTACGATTAATATACCATTACAGCCTACCGCTCTACCGACTGAGCTAAGTTCGGATGATGAATGACGATCAAAAGAGCGATCGATTTCGTGTGTGTTATAGTTTAACTGACAAAAAAAGCATTTCAATTTGATTTTTCAAGTTCCTAATTATCAATTTAAGTTTTCGAAAAATTGATTGATAAAAAAAATATCACGATCAGATATGAACCGTACTAAGGAAAGAATCGACATTGAGCATGTAGAAATATTCTTATTTATTTTTCTTCTCGCTAAGATCTTAGTATCTGAATAGGATGGCCATACTACTATCAAAAAGTACTATCTTTCAACACATGTATAATTGCATTGGATAGTCATTATAAAAAGAACTTATTCATAATGCGACGTGATAATACCTGTCGAGGATCAGTTCAACTGTTAAGTAAGTTAATTCTACCTATGTAAAAAGAAATTCTAGAGTTGACATTAAATTAAAAATTGGTTCTAAATAAGGTGTCGGTAATACAAAATTCAAGTGAGATATTATTGTGTTCATTTAGGAATGGCTTGATAGCAATTAAAAAGATCATTAGAATTATATATTTTTTAGTTCAAATTCATTACTGTTTCACTGAAAAACCTTAGAAAATTCAAATAACTAGAAACAAGAGTATTTTGACGAAAAATTCACTTTTTCTAGTATATTTCTCACAAATATGTCACAGGCAAAATTAAACTTTAGGCAAAATTAAACTCAGGCAAAATTGATTTTTTTATTAGGCGCATAATTTTAGCTACATTTTTTATTTAGAACGGATTTTTAATTATCATTTTCACTCAGAAATTTCGACAGATAACTTGATTTTTTCATTAAGGAGTGTATCAATAATTTTTTCCCAAATATAAAAGACACGATATATGTTCGAGGTTCAACTAACGGACAGAACCTTTTACCGATAAGAAATTTTTGCAATTGTATTCTTTTAAACCGATTGTATACAAAAAACATTCGTTTTCTTATTAGAAACTATTCGTGAATTGAATACTTACCACATGATGTCAACTAATTAAGATGGTATCGTATCAGCTGCCCAGTGAAAAATTTTTGCAGCTTTCAAACGGATTTTTCTGCAACCAAATCAAAATTAAAATCGATTGATAATTTTGATTATTTCTGACCACGACTGAGCTATTACTTGACATTGTTATTTATTCAGTGTGAAATTTTCTGATTGAAATTAGATTGTTTTGCAGGAAAATCGAGATTATTAATCGACTGATAACCTTGAATTTGCTACAAAATCATCCGATTTTAATCAGAAAACTCTCCACTGAATAAGTAACAATATCAAGTAATAGTTAAACTGTAATCAACAATAATCAAAGTCATCAATCGATTTTAATTTTGATTTTGTTGCAGACAAATCCGATTGAAAATCATTTTCACCGAGTGTCTGCTGACTATCTTTTTATAAAGAGAAATAAAATAAAACTTATGATTGATGAGGCTATTTTCATGAAAAGAAGAAGAATTAGTATTTAACCATTATTTTTATTATCTTTCACTAAAAAAAATCTACTCATGAATTTTATATTTCATAATTATTTTCTCTATAATGAGGAATGAAATGAAACTGATGATCTATGAGGCTAGTCCTGAGAAAGAAAATTAACATTTAGCTATTTATTTTATTATCTCTAATAAAAAGCCTATTCTTGAATCTTATGTTTGATGATTATTTTTTTATAATGAACAATAAAATGAAACTGAAGGTTTATGAGGCTATTTTCATGAAAGAAAAATAGTACTTAACTATTATTTTTGTTATCTTTAACAAAACTTATTCTCAAATGTTATATTTGATGATTATCTTCTTTTTTTATACTGATAAATAACTGTAGCTGATGATATCTGAGACCATATGTAGGAAAAAAAATATAATATTTAACTATTATTTCTAACATCTTTAATAGAAAATAGTTAAATATGATATTTAACTATTATTTCTAACATCTTTAATAAAAACGTATTTTCAAATTTTATGCGGAATAATTAGACTGATATAATTTTTTCCTTTTTTTCCCTCGTTTTCGGTCGGGCATGGAGCAGAAAATTATTGTGATGGTAAACAAAATTAAAAAACCAATATTTTATATTAATTTGATTTAGTTAATATCATACGGTATCAGCATTTCGATGATTATCTCTTTTGTTTTTATAATACGGGTGAAATTCAAGTGGTGATGTATAATGATATCGCTATGAAAAGAACGATTGATATGTAACTTTTATTGTTATTATGTTTATAAAAAAAACTATTCTCAGTTCAGACCATATCAAAATGCTTAGGCGTTTTTTCTCTTCATCCTCTCCTTTTTTTCCTTGGGCTGACAGAAAGCAGTAAATAATTTAATGATCAATAGAAATGCGAAAGCCAATACTCTGTAAGTTTCATTTCCTTTATATTGTACAATATAATTTGTTTGATCTAATCTTTTTTTGCTGCTAAACATACAGTAAAATGAGACCGAGCATTTATTAGATTATTGATAAAAAAAACGACATTTTACTTTTAGTATTATTAACTTTAATAGTAGAAAAACAAATTAATTTGAAACTATATAATTACTATTTACGGTTTTATATTTTGTAATTTTTCCTTTTTTTTCCTCCTTCTATTCATTTTTTTTTCACTTTTCTTTTACAACAAACTAAGAAAATACTCTGATCGTGAAACAACTTCAATTCAGATTTTCTATAGTAATTTCCCTTTGTTAGCATAAAATGATATAACTTTTTTGATAATTATCTCTTCTTCTAAACAAAATGTGAAATGTTAACAATGATCTATTAAGCTAGTGGCAATACACAATTTCACACTTAACTTTTATTATTCCTATCTTCAAAACATCAAAAACCATTCTCGAAAACCACGATTACTGATTACATTTTCATACTTTATTATCTTTTCCTTCTTCTCTTCTCTTCTTCCCCCCTGATTTTCCCTTTTTTGGTCGGACAATAGTTATAAAATAATTTTCATGCTAGAGAAACTTAAAACTTAATCTTCTACAGTTACATGACCTACTATCATGTACTATCGACTGTTTGACAATTATTTGCTTTTCCAAAATGGGTCTGAAATATAACCCATCATCAATACAGTTACTAAAAAGACAAAATTATTGATATTACACTATTATTCTTATCTTTATTACAGACAATAGTTTGTTATCCAAGTGCACACCTGTTTGTGATATTTATTAATCTATCACCCTTTCCCTCAGCTACTTCCATCATCGAATTCACAGTAAATCTTTACGTCTTAAAGAAGTAACGAGAAATACTAACATTTATTCAGATGCGATGATTTCAACAAATTTTCTCAATGATGAAAATAACAAAAGAGAAACACCTAAGGCACCGACTGCGACAGAACTATCCGCTCATGAAATTCTCAAAGTGCAATAAACACAAGGTTATCAC